CAAAGTACAGTTGGAAAATGGGATTAGATGGCAAACTATGAGGTCCACAATGATTGGAAGTTGAAGTAGAAACGTACTCTTGAAATCGTTACCAGACTCCCATATGCCTGGTTATATACCTGCTTAAACAGATGAGACTCACGATGGAAGCGCCGACTGATGCCTGTACATACTTCTCAGGCGCTATGAACAAGGGTATATATTGCTCTAGCCAATATTGGAAAAGTTGAAAACCATCATGGGTGTCACCGTAAAGCGGCAACATCAGGCCGGAAAGGCCACGAAAATCGACACAAAAGCCACGGCCCTCCGTGTCCTTTCCGGCGTCACCCTGAGTTACTCCGTACTGCGTTTGAATACGCCAGGCGAAGGGAGGCAGTGCAAACGCCAAGACATTCACACCTATTTAGGATTACTTTTTGTAGGGAGTATTTTTGACGAACTCCAGGTAAAATTGTGATTCAGGACTTGATGCAGCCCAATGAACCCCTGGGATATACTGCCATCATTTGCAGACGTAAGATGTATGGAGACCTGTCCCCACTCAGCGCAAAGCGCGAAGCCTGCCATGGATTATACAAGGCGTAGGATCGATCTCTCTATCATTCGATCTACTTTGTAAAGCGCTCTCACACTTGCTTTAACTAATGGAATAAATACGACATTTTTCTTACTTTTGAACTGGAATTTGGCACAGGCCATGAGGCAGTCAGTGCACTGCATGCAATTCTTATTCAAATAATAATACAGAGTAGACAGCACTTCCAAAGTGGCAATTAACTGAGCTGGTTACCTGGCAAACTCTTCCCTCCAAATAAGGTTAGGTATGCGTACCTAGACACTGAATTAGCTAGGATTATTTGAATTGGGTTCCGAAACCGCTCTACCTAGGTAGGTCAGAATATCGTTCAAGAATCTGTGAGCAGTTCTCTCCTTCCTCACTCGGACTCTGCCGCTTTAACGGGGTGAGCTGGGTGAGTCAAGTGATCAGATCACCCAGTCAAGGTGATTCGCTCACCCAAACCCAAACCGATCTATACTCACTCCATCTTCCCTGTAGACGCCATAGTCTTTATAACTGGTTTCTACAGGAACCTGCGCAATTCTGTCAAAGAGCTCTTCAGAGAATCCATATACAACCAGGTTGATGATTCTTGGGGTATTGACTGTAAGGGCAAGATCAAAGGGGCTTTCAAACCGACTCATCATAAATGATGGTACCTAGTAGTGATATCACTCTATGGACGGATAATGCTGATGCCTTGGATAATGCCTAGATATTCACCTTTGGTTCTTGGGAGGCACAATTGGCCAAGCTCAGTTTTATTCTTGCTTCACGGCATTGCAGATTCTTGCTGATCTGCTAGAGGGCCTATTGGAGGTAGACATATAATGAGACGCCTGCTTGCAATAAATCGGCCATTATAAATAGTATTAAGAAGATTGAGGAGGTTAATCGGTTAAAGAATTATAGGTAAGCCTAAGAGGATTGCTTCCTGTTGTCTTTCTTCTCTTCTTAGTGTTTATATTATGGATCGTCTATATGATGCAATATCCTTCTGATGATTAGTTTCTCCATAATGACATTATCATTAGATTTCCTATGGATCAGCCATATGAATCAATCATTTCAATAGTTTCTGCGCCGTCGCAAATAAGCTACCTGTATTAATTGATTAGCTACTTGTTCTCTCTCAAAGTGCCTCATCATACTGCATATATTTTACAAAGCTCAATACTTACAAGTGGGGATAGACATGCACCTTATTTGTAGTAATCTGCCTCCACACATACACTAATAATACCTCCACCTCTATAATACTCTACCCCCTGAACTTCGTAAATAATGCTAAGGAATACTATCAAGCGCAGCTTCTAGAAACTAGAGACAGAAGTATCTTCCAAATCTTTTTTAATCAGCAATCCTTTGGCCAAGTTCCAATAGAGCAGACTTTCTTTTAGTGGTTTAGATGTTTTGAAAGGATTCATTGTGCAGAAGGGATTTGAAGACCAGGAAGAGGTCAAAAATCATCCCACAGAATCTCCCATCTTCAATGGTAGTTCTATCTACCATGGAAGCCATGTAGGGATGCCGCAAGAAGGAGATTGCGTTTGTCCACCCAGGTCAGCATAAGGAAAACAGCGTCGACAAAAGGCCACTGCTGATGCAAAAGAAAATTAGCAGAATCTAACGAGATGACCACTAAAAGGTTGATACTCAAACAATCATAATGGAGGCGATGATGAGGATGCTCCACAGATTGATACCCTCCTGATTTGGAGGATACCATGGGATAAGATCAAGACTTCACTTATATATTTTCCGTTTGAATCATGTAAATTATGTAGTGCCATAATTGGCGGATCTTTAAGGCAGCAACAGAAGAGGCTATGCAAACGCTTATAAACCAATGGAGACACATAACTGTCATATTTGAGTTGCAGAGGACACC